GAATGGAATTGGACACACCAGGCTATACATATTTTCAATAAGGATGCGTTTAAAGTAACATGTTGAAACCACTCAGCATGCATCGTCCGTGTACCGAATTATTTATGTGCTTCACCACATCCACTAACTTCACCGACAATCCGCTTGCATGGCATATCTGACATTACACACCATGCTAAAAGTGCTCTCAATTATTGGCAGCAAATGAATGATGAATGGCATGCAGACTAAAAGGGGAAGGATCACGATTCACGAAAATATCTCAAGATGAGAATTTTTCACATTTCACAATTATCTTGCCCTAATTGCACTCTCGCCGGCATTTGCCCACACATTTGATTCCACACGTCTCCGCCTTGAGATGTGAACACATGACTTGCTTATGGCATTCATTCAGCTGTTACACACTGTCAGTTTGGAGCTATGTTTCTCGGGAGGTTTACGGTTTGGACCGAGTGGTTCCCGGAGCGCTCATGGCTCAAACCAAGCTAGAATCTCTTGACCCGGTCCGATTGCCTGTCGAGTAGCTCATGGCCCAATCGTCCGCTCATGGTGCGATAACTGAGACCCCGGAGATGGAAACGGTGGTCGTTTGAGATCATATCGGCTACTTCATGAACCCTCTCTGCAGTTATCACAAACAACCCATTCTAACTCACTAACCCTCCTGAGTTTGATTGACCTGTGACCTGCAGCCTTTGACCTGTGATCCTCGACTTCTCGGCTCAGTTTGACCACAAGCAGCCCCGTTACCCCTTGTCAGACTTGGTGCTCTTCACCTCCTCTCTCACTTGCTGACCTCTCCTGATCTGCGACAGCTCGACAGTCGGCTTCCGACCGCTCCCCCACACCTCCTGACGCCCTCCCTTGCCTCCCCCAGCTCCAACAGCCGGCTACTGAGTACTGAGCGCTCTCCCTCCCCCACACCCCCTGACGCCCTCCCCGCCGTCCCCCAGCTCCAACAGCCGGCTACTGACGGCCGCCGTCGGTTTGGGAGGCTCCGAGATCGGGTCACGCCGGCCCTCGTTCGCCTCCCAGTACTCCCTGGCGGTACCCTCCCCGGCATTCAGCTCCTCCTCAGAGTCTGACATGTCGCGGCGGCCCGACGACCAGGGCGCCACCTGACGACGGCGCCGCGTTCAGCTCTGGGTGCACTCCAGTCTCGAGCGGCGCCAGAGGCACTCCGACGAGAGTGCCACCTAGTGGTGATGGCCGGAACCGGTACTTCGGACGGTCACCGCACCGCGGAGAGAGATCGCCTTGGAGGTTAATGAAGCACACGGCTGCCTTTGGAAAATGTTTAGACTAATAACGTTACAACGAAGGACCCCAGCTATGTTTTATCTTTCAACCTTCTGCAGGACGCTGTCTGATCTAGGAAGAACATATGATCAGCTTCCGTAATTTATTGCTTTTTTCTCCGCCGCTTCAGGGAGACCAATAGGCATTTAAATGACCATTGTTTTTTTGTCGCAGCAAGAGGCGCCCTGCGGTTTTTGGCCAGATTTACAGAGAACGTAGAGTCATACCTCAAGCGATAGGTTGACCAGCCAATACCTAAAGATCATCTTGTTATTTATAGAATCAGTACAGAGTTGGAGATCAGACGTTGCTAATATAGGCGCCCCATCACATAGCGTCCACTCTCTACAGAGTTCATGCTATTGCTTGTATTGCGTATTACGGACGCATGTGCTCATGCGTACCTACAAGGCGGCACCATTAGCTCTGGCTCCGTTTGCGGCTGGCCATGGGGCAGTTTTGTCAATTGGTAGTGTCACTGTTGTGAAGGGATACGGGATAATCGATGTGTGCATATTTATATCGTTAGCTAATAGCTGGTATCACAATTAGATGTTTGACTTCACCGTTGAATTGTTCTTATTTTAGTGATAAATACCTTCGTATTGCCTTTTATTATAGGTACATAACTACCAATTCAAAATGAAACTAAAACAAGGCTTCTTGAATAATTTTTGACTTTAGCCATCCAACTGCATAGCAGTTATGTAGTTATTTGCCGTCCATCAAGTGGTTTTCCACGCTATTTTGTAATGCATATTTGTAATGTTTACGATCGTGTTTTGACTCCATCGTCTTACGAGTAAAATGCCAGAGCGCTAGTCTTTCTTTAGAGACTATAATTTCTAGTCGCATGGTCGTATCATTTTTTTACATAAGTAAAGGTAATATTTATATCACTCTGTTGACTGTTGATATCACTTTTGTTGTTTTCACACAGAGAAGTGAAAGCTAATTTAATATTAGGTATTTTTATGTATTTTTCTCAGACCTTCTTTATCCAGGGTGCACGGTACCAGGCTAACGGTACCAGTCCTAACTGTTAAACTTCCCATTCTGTGTTGATACGAGGTATTTGATATAAGTTGCATTGTATTTTGTATGCCAACTAATTTTGTTCTGTTGATTCGGGGAGACGTCCCGTCCCAGATTGATCGACGGGACCCTCAGGGCGTTTTCTCGTGGGAAACACAATCCGTTGTCCAGTTGAGAATGTAAACCACTACACGTGTGCGACTTACGAATGTGCGGTGGAAATATAGGCTGTAGAGGCATTGGTGCGATATACGAGTATGTCGTGGAAGTACTGGTACGATTTGCGAATGTGCCGTGGAAGTACCGGTACGACTTACGAATGTGTCATAAAAGTACGACTTACGAACATGCCGTAGAAGTGAGATTCAGACGGAATCTCCAGCAGGTTACATGGGGAGTGTTATATGTACTAATGTGTTGTCTGATGAGCCTGTGGGCGCTGAAGTAACCGCATTTCTAGCCGCCATGAACTATGCGTACAAATGTGCGTGTACTTGATCAATGAACACTGTTGTGTGAAGATTGACATAGTAAATATTTTAACCACTTTCTGCGTTGAGCGTACATTTTCGCCGCGTTGAAATGTTGTTTATGTTAAGGTGGAGGGCTCTGCATCATATATTACACATCTTGATCTTTTGGTCTGGAACGCCTGCATAATGGTATATGACCTGAAGATTGTAGGTAAAATACATCGTTTATAAAAATGCATCATATATGTTTCCTCTGTAGTAAGATAAGGGTAAAATACGTTATTAATAGAAACGTAAATTACGTCCAAGCATGCGTAACACTCTAAAAATTAGGGCAAAGTGCTCCTGCGCTGGTTAGGACTCTGGCACTTACCATCGGAAACGAAATAGGTTATATCTGGTAGTTCAGCATAGATTCTTGGACTCTTGTTATTCCTCGAAAAAAGTCAAAGCAGTGAATTGTGTGTACTGTCTAGTTGTACGCTGTCTTATATATTTACATCGATGCATATGATTCGCATGTTATATCTCATGTAATCTGAAGAGGCAAGTAGCCTACTCTGCCGAGGTATAATGTAACTCGCCCTTTGAGGCCCATTTATGTCACGTGCAAGTATAAAAAATCACCGCTAACCTGAGGACTACCTACAATCACCAACATTCAACATTCGTCAACATGTAACATCATCCAGGCCTTAAACACACTTGGTTTACATCCGATTCACACATAGTTTACACACGTTACACCTTTGGCCCAGAAATTACAAACATATTTACAGCATCCTCTATACAAGCCCCACATTCTGTAACACACTCTAACCCATAGAGCTGGAACTTGACATTCCCCGCTTACTCCAGCCTCGGCCTCACTATGACTGCTATCGTCAGGTATATGTCCTTGGCACTGCTTCACACACGGCGAACACGACTGCTGAAGAACACGGCTCACGGCTAGACGCGGTTCACTCGACTAAAGCCGTGCCGTTTACGGCTGTGTCTGAAGACGATTGCCGCCACTGCAGTCGCTTTATAATACTATATGTCTGCAAAAGAGCGAGACGGTTGTAAATTGTCTGGAAGGGCAGGCCAGCAGCGGTTTAAATGACAAAGTCAATATCATACCTACAAGCTTTGTAAGTTATTTAATATGCTTCACGTAAAATTAAAAATAAATCAAAGATCTATTCCTGCAATGCAAGCGCAATGGAAGAGACAATTTGATAAATGATAAGACGTACATAAGCCACTAAGCAGAAACAAATGCTTTATTTTTTGTCAAAGCACGTTTTAAGTGCTCCAGTATCGCTATTGCTTATCTCTAGGTTCTACAGTACATATATTCACCGTTTACTTGCCGTGACGTCACTCGGGCGCGAGGCGTCTCGATGTGAACTCTGGAGACGTGCCGGTGTCAGGCGAGTCTGAAACGGGCACACCCTCAGCTTGTCGCAGGCCACATTTATGAACAGATCCTCTGCTAATCCGTCCAAACGCGTGTGTAGTAGTGCGACAATAATTCTCTGAAGAACCGAACTCATTTGAAAGCATAATGTTTACTTTGGAAGCAAGACAAGCAGTTCAACTTCAGGCTTTGTGAGGAAGGCACCCATATTTATGTACGTTGGGCCCATTTTCCCCTTAAACGTGTACAGCTCGTCGTTGACGCACAGCCATAGCTGTATGGCTGTCGGTGAAAGAATTATCATCGGCGAGTCAAATTATACATGAGTTAGAGCATGTTGTCCGTTGGCAGGGATAATGTGATATCTGCCGTAATTAGCAGCAATCACTGTATTGGGATATGGTTGGTTGAACAATTCTACCACATGCGAATAAGTTATGACATCTACATTTGCTGCTTTCTTGAAGTGTATGGTTGGATGCAACTGTCGAAAGATCACAAACCGGGTGGTTGTTCAAAATTTAAAGACATTCGTTTCGACTTTGCGGCCATGCGAAAGCACGACCAGTGAGAAGTTATCATCGACTTATGTGTGTACTGTGGATGAAATGACATCGTTTCAGCTCTACCTTCCAGTGTCAGCCGTCGACTCACCGTAATAGTCCTTGTAGTCTGCGTAATCAACGTAATAGTCATAATAGTCGTCATAGGTCTTGGCCGGCTCCTGCCGGTCTGTCGCGGACTCGGCGAGCCCCGGCGCCTTGGTGGCTGCGGGGAGAGACGGCGTATAAGCTGGGAGATGATTTATTGCCACGACATCAACAACAGAAGGATCTCAGAGCGCCCGCTCACAGCAGACGTAACCAGTTTGGCACTAACCGCGCGCGGCTGCCCGCGGTGGCGCCACCGTCGCAGCGCCGTCCCCGCAGGTGGCGCTGCCGGCGGGCCTCCCGAGCGCGCCCGAACCGCCGCCGCATGCACTCTAAAAGCGGGCTCGTGCAGGGTCGGGGACCGGGCCGGCGCCCCGCCGGTGCAGCCCGCGCCGCGCGCACCACCACACCGTGCCTCTCCCCTCCACAGGGCCGACTCCGCCACTCCGCCCTCTGTCACTGCCCACCGGGCCCGGCCGCCACCACGGGGAGGTGCCACACGACGCGGCCGCCACCGGCCGCCAACAGTCATGAGTCCGACGTCTCCAGCGCACGCGTCGCCTCGTCGCGCTCGGCAATGGCCCGGTTCTGGGTCTCGAGGGCCGCCTTGGCCTGAAGGGCCGCCTCGCTGGCCTGGCGGCGCACGAGGTCCTCCAGCCACCCTGCGAACGGAGGGAGACGAGCTACAGGGTCCGCCGACAGCGCCGCCGCAGCCGCCACAGAGAGAGAGAGAGAGAGACAGAGGGGTCGCCACTACAGAGAGAGAGGGAGCCGAGATACTGGCCAGAGAGGCGTCACTACTGCACTGCTAGATGGTGAGACAGGTGCATTGAGCAAAAAAGGTGTTCGACTCCAAAAGATTAAAGTGATATTGATGTGAAACAGTTCCTATAAGTTGAAAAAAGCTAGCATGCCGATGACATTGATTTGATTTATTCGGAAAGTCATTAATAATTAAAGGGCTGACAGCATTAAAGAAACATTGTGTTAATTGTTAGAAGTGAGTGATTTATGTGCAATTGCATCTCTGTCCGACACCTTGGGGAAAGTGCGATAGCTCGAGCTCGAGGATATTACAAATACCCAAGGTATATACACAACTAATGCTGAAACTGCAGAGGCTTCGAAGCGGTCAGAGGGTACCGATGCATGCTTGCAAATATATACATTATGTACATTGCACATCGTCCAAGTATAAACCTAGCCGTAGGAGCAGCGAGTACGCCCGAATTCGGCATGCAAAACATATACACAATACTTAACGGTAATCGTATTGGGAATGCGTCGATTATACGGCGTTTACTTATATGCATGATGAATGTCTTATATGTACAAATGAATGCATCTTTAATGTTAACACTTCAAAACATATTAACAATGCATACATTCAAGCGGTGCAACAAATGTTATGTTCTATGCATTGACTTATTTCATAGATGCATTGACTTATGTATTGCGATACACACACCCTGGGAATACTAATTACTTTAGACAAGATGACCTTGTGATACGTTTCACTGCTGTTTGTGAAGGGTCTTTCAGAGTCAAAGAGCAACAAATTGAAGTGGCAAGTCCACCGACAAGTTGAGCGCTGTTGATTTACAGCTGTCTGGAATCGGATAAAGCAGGCTCTCTGATTGTGATTCTGGTCAGAGCCCAGAATAAGTAGACGTTGATAGCAAATAAGGGATTGCGAGCGGGATGAAAGTAACTTCAATTGTGAGTCCCATCTGGAGATTTCGTTTTTGATTCTTCCGTATATACAAATTACAAATTCGATATGGAACGACTTATCGGGATAGATGGCAATCCTTATTCGCTTGACACGGTAGCTGTTTGCTTTAGAACGCTTTCATTTTCTTGGCCTTACCTTCCCTTCCAGTGCTGCTCTGCTTATATTTTTACCAGTGCATGCAGTGGACTCATTCCTCGCATTTTCGCAACCCGTTCAAAGCACTTGGAAAGCTATTTGCACAGTTTTAGCGATTGACCATTGACCAATAACGTCTAGAGGTAAATATAGACAGTGAGTGCAAAAATGGCATCATTCAGAGGCGTGATTGACCTGTAGGCTGTACTTACTCGGGATGATGAGATGATTGTTGACGTAATAGTTTACAGAAGATGAGGCGCAGTCTATTTTGTCAATCTCTTGGCAAGTTCGCGACTTCTGCTCGAATGCCGTGTTGTTTCCACAGAGGAACTTGTAGTCGGTGATGCTGAAACGAATCAAATGGAGCATAAGTTTCACAATATTATCCAATATTATTGTGATAAAAATGATCTTATGCTCATGATATAATATGATTAAGTTGAATTGAAATAAGACCAAAAATCACCAAGCTCATTAAACATGAATTCAGAACATCTTGCAATGCATAATACATTTCACGTGGACTCAAAGTGTAAGATATCTTCTAAAGATATGGTCTGTGAACGAGTAAACACGGCATCGTTACTTTTATTCGGAGACTACAACGCAGTACAGAACGAAAACCCGTCCATGCCCGCGTAGTGCCGACGGTAACGAGTTCACGTCACAAAACATCCTCCTATTCAGTTTTCATGGCCGATCTGCCATCGTCACTCACGTGTCATCGGCTCCGATGACGCAGATGTGGAACATCTTGCAGTTGGTCTCGGGGTCGGCGTAGTGGCCGCCGCTCACCTTCCCCTCACACGAGAAGTTGGTCTCGGGCAGCGCCAGAGACGAGTACTCCTCCTGGAGGAAAGGGGAGGAAAGTATCAGAAGTTGGTCTCGGGCAGCGCCAGAGACGAGTACTCCTCCTGGAGGAAAGGGGAGGAAAGTATCAGAAGTTGGTCTCGGTAAACGCCAGAGACGGGTATTTCTATTTTCTCCTGTGGTTAGGGCGTTGGGAGAGGGGAGGGGAATCATACTCTAGTCTCGGGCAGTATCAGTGAACTGATGAGCGTTGCTCCTGGTGAGTTGGGGTCTGGGGAAGAGTTTATCAGAACGGGTCGAGTGAAAACGAGCTTGCGGTTTGGACGTCTTTGGTTGATTAAAATTAGATATACGATACCCTAAAAAATGAACATCGCGTTCTTTTGAAATACAGTGATAGTTGCATGACAAGAATGTGATGATCATCTAAAAAAACTATACCACAAGAGAGGTCTTTGGTCGTTGGCCATGAGTCACCATTTTACTGACTGTACTGGTTTTCGGATTCCGCTACATCCTCCGAAATGATCAGATCTAGAAACAAGCACCTGGGAAGGGCCATTAATCCCAAACTGTCGTCTTTAAATCGCTCTTGAACTCTCCGCAAGCAGAAGAAATACGTCCGTCCTGTCTGGTACTGCCGGTTTCATCCCTTCATTGTCTCCATTCTTCTCTCGGAGTTCAGACATATTTACATGTCTACATAGCAGGGTTCATCACCCTCGCAAGTTCATTGTACCGGACGTATATGTACATGTCCGCATTCAAACCGGTCATTTCTTTTCTGAGTCATTCTGGCTTTGTAAAATGTCCAGTTATAAAACTCTTGCTAGGGCTACTGATTAAATTACTTCTTAACGATGTTGCTACATTTTAATCTATTTTCTAATGGTGTCTCCAACCATGTGATTAAAATGTACCTATCCTTACCAATCGATTCATTTATTGATATCCATGTCCATTATTCGATTAATTCATTTCTCAACTCATTGATTTATAGCTCCCATTTCAAATTTCTTACATGACATAGCCACACTACCCAATAGCACAAACATAACTAGTCGGCAAAAAGGAAACAAAGTCGCTTCACCCTTCTCTTTCTCCATATACCGCCTTCCTATCCCGGAGCTTCCTCCTCAGCACCCCTTGCCCTCCTCTTTTCCTCCCGCCCTCCTCTGCCAGATACCCGTTCACTGATCAGTGATCATCTCGCTCCCCTTTTCTACCACCTACCTCGGTGGTGAGCGCCGGCGCCGGGTCCGGCGAGTCCAATTTCGGCACGAATGGCATGCCGTTGGTGACGATGACACGCGGTCGGTCCGGGTCGCTGGCAGCCGGGATGATCGGCACCGTGGCCGTCTCGTGCGCCGCCGGGTGGCGCGTCGTCGTGCTCGGTGTCGTCGTCGTCGTTGTCGACGTTGTTGTTGTTTGGAACCGTCTGTTGGCGATGGCGAAGGGTTAGAATTGGGAATTAGAGAGAGAGAGAGAGAGAGAGAGAGAGAGAGAGAGAGAGAGAGAGAGAGAGAGAGAGAGAGAGAGAGAGAGAGAGAGAAGGGGGGTAAAGGGAGGGAGGGAAGAGGTGCAGGAGAGGAGTGTATGGTACTGTGTGGAATGTTAAACTTTGAAAGACGTTCATTTTTTGTTTCCTTGCGGTCCTTGCTGTGTGACTAGGGTATTACATTAGTCATGGGCATGATGTTATCTAATATCTAATGAAGTTCAGTGTCCCTTTAGTGGTAGGTACTGGTTTAATAAGTACGATATAAATAGCAGAATGGCACATAGCATTATGCACTTTTATTGCTGCGGTGTTTTGATGTGTATCTTTTAATGACGACTCTGATGCTGAGAATGTCAGGAGGAGGAAACAACTGATAAGAGGCTTTCCCATAGATCATTATCGCGGCCAAAGATGATGCTTGTGGCCTGCCCCAGGATTTACATTTATATAACTTCCTGCTTTTGGAGCGATCTACCAGCTCGTATTGTTGCCAAACGACCATGAGCTCCTGATGCTGCGCATCACCTTCTTTAATGTCACTTCTAAAGTGAGTGAAGTGACGTTAAGTACGTGATAACGAAATAGCAAATACTTTGGGATAGAAATGTGAATAAAATTAAATTTAAAAGGCCTCCAGTGCCATCAGCTCCCATTTCCGGCCCTGTCGACTCACATGAAGGCGGGCTGCTGCGGCACGACGCGACGCCCGCCGCGCCTCCGGCCGGTGCGCCGCCGGTAGACGGGCACCTCTGAGCGTGTGCGCGTGCTGCTCCTGCCCGACGACCACTCGCTGCTGAAGTCGTCCCGGTAGTCGGAGGGCGGGTAGCGCGCGCTGGCCTCCTCGTACTCCTCGCCGCTGGGCACGTACGGGTGGAGCACCGACTCGCCGCCGGCCGAGTCGGTCACGTTACCGTCGAACTCGCTACGGGAAGAAACGGGTGGGGTGAGCAATGAGTATACGAAAGCATCTTGGCTGTTTGCTCTGGCCGGTTTTGGTGTGGAGATTAGGACGATTTTCATTATTGTATTTTTTGTAAAACATGATACAGTAACAATGCATGCATATTCAATGGAAGTTTATGTCTACTGAGCATGAGCTACTGAAATGGGTCAAGGCGATGTACGGCTGAACATGACAAAGTGTAAAACTGTGCAGAAGTTCCCACCCAGGCGCCTGTCAATAGTTCCCGATACAGCACCGTGACAAATTCCCTTTCTGTCCGCCACAATAGACCATACGGCGGGCCATGGCCGGCTTCAGACCACCGGGTCGGGTCGACAGGGAGGTTTTCGGCCGATGAAAGCCGCCGCTGCGCTACCGAAGGCCGCGGCGTGCGTGCGACCGGGCCGCGATTTTCCCACCGTCAGTGACCGTGCCCTCCGCGGCAGCTGCCGGCTGCCCTGAGCAGCTGCCGGCTGTCCTGAGCAGCTGCTGGCTGCCCCGATCAGCTGCCCGCTCTCAGAGGCACTGGCCGGTGAACCAGCCCCCCTCTCCCCACTTCCCCCGGCCACCGCCCCGCAGCGCACACAAACTGGTATACCGGGGGTCACCCCGATCAAAGTCGTTTAGCTTTTGCCCGAGAGCCAGTTTTTAGAGCTTGAGTAAGACGGCGTTACGCGCTGGTCGCCTGACGACAGGACATTTCCAAATGGTTTGTTTCTAGGGGAGAGCCCACGCCGGGCCCGATATTCACACAGATATTTTGTTGCTGTTGTGGCACAGCTGCAGGTACTCACACAGATATTTTGTTGCTGTTGTGGTACAGCTCCTTATTGACGTCGTAGTGCTTGACGTCGATGCACGGCACCTCTTCTGACCGCTCGCAGACGCGCGTTTTCTGATCGAAAACCGTGCCCGCCAAACACATAAACTTGATATCCTGGGTCTCACCTGCGTGAAAGAGGCACAGTTGTAAATACAGTTGATCATTGTACGACGGAAAACACTACGCAATCACGTGTGATCGTTTCATTTGCATGAACCACCTCCTCGCGACACATGTTGGAAGGTTCGGGGCCGGCGACTGTTTTATTTCATGTTGTGGGTGTGGTGGGGATCGTGAGGCTCGGGACGAAGCCGACGTCGCCGTAGGGTATGGATCAAGGGGTCGTTAGTGATCCCTGATCCGAGGATTGGTGACGATAGTACGACTTGATCCGGAACCAGATGGCGAAGAGCGCTGGAAACCGCTAAACAAGAGGGGAGTGAGTGCTACATGGAGTGGGATATCATGTCGCATGAAAGGCACGAGTACACAAAGATCAGTTACATCGTCAAGTCAGTGTAGTTGAAATTAGTTTCCGAGGTGTCATCTGTCTATCAAAATGAAAGCCAGAACTTTGCAATGCACAATGAATGTGAAAGGTGAAGCTTCAAGGCGAACGGCTACAATACGTACGCCGAGATAGTTTCCTTTGGCTGATTTCAATGTCCGTATCAGATGTTTTCTGCCAGTGTCTAGCGAATTGACTAAGTAACGGCACAATGAAATATTCATGAAAGCAAGATGCAAATAGTCACGACGCTACATTTTGCAATATATGTATCACAACATTGAACTTGAGCCAGCAACAAAAGCGGCGCTATCAAAAGCGATACCATCAAAAGTCGTGGGGTCCGAATGAGCAGCGAGGGTTAAAAGCTCGTAAGAAATCCCTGGAAAGCCTTGGCCTTTCTCTCCCCGGTGCTGTGTGCTATGTTCATGGGCAGGATCTACTCAGGTTATCATTCGCCTGGCATTGAAACGAAAAGCGCAAAACGTGACGGTAAACATGGGTCTCGGCAGGTGCTGATAAGAAGACATAAAATGAAATGCATACCATATTGTTTGAGCAGTGTAAGGCTAGAGAAGAACATGATTATAATGAACTGCGGCATGAGAAGATGCAGACTAACGAATTAGAGTGCAATAAAGGATGCTGAACACACTTAAAGAGGTAGGAATTTTATGAAGTCTGAAGAGTGAAGATACACAGCTAAGAGCATCTATGGATTAATTATAAATGAATTAAAACCATCCTTGTTCCAGTACGTCACCGGTGAATACCAACATGCATACAAATTCAACATTGAGTGAAATGTAACCGCATTCTGATATCACATTAACAGCATGTCTTCATACATTCACGAGTCCAGTCTGGTGCCATCATGAGAAACGTCCCACAACGCAAATAACTAGCACACGGGACCACACATGGTGGCATGGTGATGCATGCATGACATCCTCTCTCGGGTATCATATTTGGTATCAACACAACTCACCGCCTGCGGGGAGGTGCAAGGACGAGTAGAACAAGTGTAAGGTACAGAGACACAGCGAAGATGTGTACGGAACAGGACACGGACTCGTGGTACGGAATACTGTGAAACAGCTTCCGTTACAAGTAAACAGTACGCGTTACAAGAGTACTATATACGGGACTACGATTTACTATACGGGCACATCGAACAGACGCGCCATGCTGGTGTATGTACAACACACATAAGAAATGTCAGATACGGGTACTTGCAAACACATGCACGTGCGGCACGCGGCGTCTGGAGCTTTGGTTACCTTTTGAGCCCAGCGTGCAGACGTGGAACATCTGACAGCCCGTCTCGAAGTCGGCATAGTAGCCGCCGACCACCTTCCCCTCGCACGAGAACGATGTGTTGGGCAGGTTGCCCAGGTCTAGCTGTGGAAACGACAGACGAGCACTCGTTAACACGACTCATACGGTGCTTATGTGTTGGTATTTCAAATGATGCAGGCTAATGAAGGAGCAAAATGACGAGTATACTTATTCAGAACAGCGCTGAGAATGCTAACGAGATATATAATTAAATGGAAGCAAACAATGCAAAATAAATTTAAGATGTGTGTGGTTTGTGAAACATAAATTGAGTATTCAATGCCGGCATTGTCGTAAACAAAAACCGGTTGGTTAATTCGACTGCTGCTTCATTAGGGACAGACATAGCCTGTAAATTACACTGCTTTATAAAAGGGTTGACAGGTCAACCACAAATTGTGATGCTTCATAAAAGACAGACAGGTCAACTACAGATTACCACAATCTATTGCAACGGAATCTTTCCACCAATCATCTCCAATACAGAATCATCTCCAATAATTCACCGTTTCTTGTGTCAAAAACTGACCCCTAAGTATCTGACCGCAGACGGTGGCTACAGGCGCCCGTCCCCCGCACCCAATAGCGGACTCCCACGGTGGATTTAGTGGGGGGACGACACAGAATAGCGGGTCGCACCACGCAGTTCCCACCAGCACAATCTCACGGCTCAGCAGATGACGATGACACTCTAACGTGATGTATTGGACAGATTTTTCCAGCGAACTATAACCGCAGGATATTGCCACGTAATACGTAACCGTTAGGTTGCTCGGTACCGCACGCTGCACGCGTGACTTGGCGATGCGAGTGGGACATTGTAGGTGGTTTGCTAACATGAAATAGTGCGTTGTTCTCTCAGTGTCCGCTTTCTTGCGAGGACAGTGAACAAGTAATTTACACATGCCACGCATCGCTGCAACCATATCCTTTACAGTGCACATATCGCATAGCTTTTAGCTGTCACGCCCCTTAAAAACCCAGCGTCATTTCAACAGTCACAACTCACGACTGCTATCTGCCCACCAGACAGCTCGCTTGACCTTTCTTCATCTGTCGTCTCAGCTGGCTGAGCTGAGGGGCCACGGGCCGGGGCCGGACCGCCGGCAGCTCGTCCGAGAATGATTTTCAACGAGACTGTTGGATTGTTGTTGAGCCAACTATGCAAGGTCGCCTGGTGGTTGACCGTGGGCCGACGGCGGCCGCGCCGCGCCGGTGACGGGGGCCGGCGGATGGATCTCTCTACCCACGACAGCATCTCGTGTTCATCACGTCTGTGCCCGGCTGTGATCGTATAGATGTATGCACCATGCACACTGCGCAATGTTATGGCAGAGTGCCGGGGGCCGGAGATGTGTCGAGAATAAAGTGTGATGTAGGTGGCAGATAAGGCTTTTTATTTCATGACGTTGTAAGTGCATATATCCAAGGTCTATTCAAATATATGAAGGCACTAGCTTGTGGTAAATATAATAATGCATGTCACAGACCCATGCAATGTTTCCTTACTAATGTAATCTAATGGGACTAATGGGACTGTCGATAAATATACACATAGTATAGCAGTCGGTAGCTCGTAGCCCCACTGTTATGCAAAACTCACGTTTGGTTGCACGAAGTGTGGATCTTGGCAGGCTGTGAACGACAGTAGTGCTAGCCACGGCAGTATCCTGAGGTAGTCCGTCCATCCTGAAATAACAAGAAAAAAAAAACAGCATATGTCAAAGCAGTAGAAAATAGTTTAGCCGTTCGAAAAGCTGTTGCATACGAGCAAACCAAATGCAGCTAAATAACTAATGACATGCGATATGCACGGTTCATTTTAGCCTTCTTCGCATCATTCCATTTCTTATTCAGACTGATGAATTCTGACAGTCCATGCCATTTACCAATTAGTTTAGGGCACTACGAGTCCGCGGGCGGCGTCTAAAATGCATGGGGCTCATCGCGTTAAGCGGGCTGACCCAAATGAGTGCGCTCGGTTAAGGATCGCGAGCGGAGAGGGTCGAGTCCTCGGTATCAGGTGATGAACTCGTCCAAGGTTACGGCAGAAATGGCACCACCTCCACCCAGACTCTCATTTTGCATAGTGGTGCAGTGAACTTGGCTATCAATTTGCATGTTTCAGCATAAGTAACACTCAATATTGCATATCGTAAGGAGTAACGGCTTTAACATCACCTCTACTTGCTTATTTGAGCGAGATAAGTTTGAATATTTACTCATGTAAACTGGATCACCAGAGCAAACGAGGATTGGCAAATGCTTGCGTCATCTAATCAGCTATTTCCCTACCAAAGGAATGTAATTAAAATAAGCGAAAGAATAAAGCAAAAAAGAAACACCCACATTGGCTTATCATGTTGAAATTAAGTGTGTCTTTACGAGTAAGTGTACCCATATCCTATAAAAAAGAAATGTTGAATGTTGATTTGAAGACGTTTTACTTTTAGGACTCGCAGTGTTAATGTTCTTGTAGCCCACATAGGTAGCGTAAAAATATCCCTTACTGGGCTTGGTCAGCTTTTGGGATGATCGTGATTAGTTTGCGGCATGCGGGAAGGATTTCATAATCATATGACATCCTATTCCATCGTATTTGAGGCCTCTTGGCATTTCCGTTCGAATGGGGCAGGTGGGGACGCGGGCGACTGCAACGCCACCACACTAAGTATCTCGGGACTGCGACGCAGGCACGAAAGCTAACACCAATCCAACTGGCTACACAACAGTAAAACTAACTTTGTTCAGCAATCCCAAATGAACGGATGTACTCCAAATCTACCAAATGCATGTCCACCACTCCTCGCACTTTTGCGGAGCCGGATGCACTATGGAGCATCATTCCATAAGTCCCTCCTGAGAAGGCTGGAGTACATACGTTGAGCAGGCACCTCCGCCGCCCATTATACGGATCCCAACTCGGACTCTGAGCACTCCGGCTCGGCGGGAGACTGGCACGGTGCGCCACCACCCGCTCAGGCTCAGATACAGGATACGCCACTCGCGCAACTAAGCCAAAACCGGAGCGGCGCACGCGAACTAAAGGCGCTTCAACGATAGCAAACCAAAGTGCTACCGAGTATTGCATGCGAGGAGCTTGTCTCATTGATAGGTGTGCGTGTACTTGTCAATCTTTTGTGTGTGCAGAAGAAAGACGCTAAATGTTGAAATACGTCAGCGGCGACAGGACGGACACGTAATTATCACGAAATACTTACATACCTATCAGTGAGAGCCTCTACAATTGCATATATTTTGCAGCGCTCAGCAAGTTCGGTGGCACCTTGCAGGTATATCATGCTCCGTTGCTCTAACATCTACATAAAAACACGGAGCAGAGCGCATACCATAGCCAGTCAAAACAACCTCAGCATATCTCAGCGGGAGAGCGAGTGGGGTCGATCACCCCCCCCCCCCCTCAGTCGGGGTGTGGTCCGAACCCGGACCCATCTTCCGGGTGTGACTCCCCCCCCCCTCCCCGGGCGTGGTCGGCCGACCTCGAGTACCGTGACGCCACATTCCGAGCCGGTGGGTACCGGCGGGAGGCACCTGGGCGGATCCGGATCAGCTCGACCGCCGCCAGGCCGCCCGGACCGCACGCACACCGCGCGCCGCCCGGGCGCAGAGCGTCCTTCTTGAGCTCATGCAGAAAAACACCGTTCTCATTGACAAATGAGGTTATTTGGCAGCGAGGCTGGCAGCCATTCAACTGATGTAACTATGCGTTAAGGGATCAGTATCCAGAACTTTGTCAGCATGCACTGGTCATAAATACACCTTTTTACGGCCAAATATAGAAATAGTGCACACAGTTCAGAAATAGTGCAACCATTTCGACAGTTCGGCATAGTGCACCGCTTCTTAGGCCGAGTGCATGAAATTCAGTAATAGTGCACACGGCTCCGAAACAGTGCAAGCAATTTAAAAGAGAATGCATTCATTTTCAGTAGTTGCGATTTCAGTTTCGCCAGAGTGCATTGCTTCGTCATATGCATTGGTATTCGGCGTACCGCAAAGCAATTTAGTTAACCTTCAAGCGAATTCGGTGCCCCATCTAGAAAATATTTTTGACAACGTTCTTGCTGTTCATCAAGTGTAGCGTGGTGCCGTTCAAACAACCTGCTAATGAAATTTTACTAAATTATTGAAATTTTAATGCTAATAAAAATTAACGAGATTTTAATGAATGCAATGAAAAGGCCCAATTTAGGCGGCAGTGCACACATTTCAAAAATAGTGCAGGCGATTTCGACAGCACGGCATAGTGCATTGATATATTGAATCGCGGCACGATATTCGCCATATTGCAGCCATTTCGTCATAGTGCAGGTTTAAAGTGACCCAGGTTCAGGCATATTAGACATATCGCACATTATTCGTCAGATCGTTTCAATTTCGGGGTCCCGCATGTAATTTAGGCACTGTTCAGTAACACGGCATTGCATAAATAAGTAATACCAATTTTAATTTGACATTTCACGCTACCTGAGCCTCCAATGACACTCGTAGTCAGTCAGCAACGCAAAAAAGTCAAGTAGCCAGCTGCACTGCTCTGGATGCAAAAGGTAGAGGGTATTTAATGTTTCATCTGGGTGCCTTAGCTTCAATCATATAAAACATAGTGCACATAATTCGTCGGGTGCTTATATATTCGGCATGAGCAATATTTTTTCGGCTTTGTTCAATCAAATTCGCCATGATGCTGAAAGGCGATAACAAGAATCCATAGCATTTCTGATCTTTTTGAACCAGCAACGAAGTTATGCACCCGATTCAGAAGCCCTGAATGCCACGTGACCGCCACTCGACCGTGTCACCGAGTTCTTAGAGCGAGACTAATGATAAGTTAATTCCTGAGAGCTGAAACTGCATTTGAGCAGGTTTTTGACAAAGATTCACGCTACTCTTGACAGGCAGATAGGGGCTTTCAAAAATATTTTCCCAGTCCAGCAGCGAATTCACTTGAACATCGCCTAAATCGCTTTGCTGGACGCCGACTATCAGGCCACATGACGAAACCGTGCACTATGACGAAATTGAACCTACGGCTCATTGAATTTGAACGCACCATCTTCTAAATTGATTGCTCTTCATTTGAAACGTGTGCACTATTACCGAATATCATGCACTTGGCCGAACTAGAGGTGCACTATGCCGAACTGTCGAAATCGGTTGCACTATTATACTGAACTGTGTGCACTATTTCTATATTTGGCCGTAAAAAGGTGTAGCGCATTTCACGTTCACGTGACATCCCACATTCTTCATTAGCTCCAGAGCTTTGCTGAGGGCTTAAGTTGCGTAGGAAGGTGAGATTTGTTTACATAATCGCTTATTTATACCGTGCTGGATTTATTTGAACGTTGCCGTAAGCACATGCCGTATGTCGAAATTGAATTAACCTGACGAATTATTATTTGCACTAAGTCCAATATGTCTGAACCTGGGCCACTTTTAACTGCACTATGACGGAGTGGGGTGCACAATGACGAATATCGTGCCGCAATTCAATATATGAAGGCACTCTGCCGAACCATCGAAATCACCTGCACTATTAATGAAATGTGTGCACTTCCGCCTAAATTGGGCGTAAAAAGGTGTAGAAGAGCTTCATTGAAAATATAATCTGACCCGTTATCATTTGCGCATACTTCATCTTAAACGGACCTTTCTGAAGGTCGAAATCGTGCACAAACATTCACCTCCTCACGTTTTCCCTTGCCAAGGCAGTGCGAGTGAAATTATGCCGGTTTTTGCTTCATTACGCAAATTCCAGCCATTAAGCCCCGCCTTCACACCACACACCGGTCATTATTGGCAAACCTGTCATCAGGCGACTACGGCAAACATCTCCATCGGGCCACAACACTGTGGAATCAACGTCAGAGGAGGCTGTTACCACAAGGACGTCTGCGGCTGCGACTCAGTTAACGCGTTCTCATCGCTGCTGTTTTGGAGAAGAAAACAGCGCTAACTGCTCTTTAGTGAGGCGGAAAGTGAAATAACCGTGATTGCTTCATTGCTACCAGAGGGAATATATCTGACTAACGAGTGGACCCCAGCCAGGCTGATTGGCTGATCGATTTTCTCGGATTGAATCCCCGCGGAGAGGATCGAAGCACGGCCGCCGATAGGGCGCACTGCGAGCCTAACGCGCTGATGGATCGGCGGACGACCTCAGACACACGAGCGCCCGGCCTGACACCGCCGCGGGGGCGCCGTATCCATTACCAGTGCGCGAGAGATGCCCGGAATGCAAAGTAACCAAAGTAAGTCATTACCGGCCGGGCCGAGATCGAGGAGAGTGAAGCGGTTGGCGGCGCGGTGTGGGAGGCTCCACAAACGGGTCAGGGTCACGGCTACGGCGGCTCGACGGTCGATCTGCGCCGCTGAGGAGCGCCGGGCGGCGTGACCGGCGCGTGACCTGACCGTGGGTGCCTCAGCTCGTCACGGCGCTGATAGTGCTCTGATAGAGGGCACTCCTCGCGAATCGGGTTCGGCGTCGTGTTTAATGGGGGCGCCGCCGGCGGGAATTCATGAGGGATTGCGACCCCCGCGCCGGCAATTAGAGGGAATCGGTCGTCACGACGCCGCGGCGCTGGTGCGGCGCGGCTGAGTCCGATCAACACCTGCCGGTGGCGAAACCACCTGTCGGTCACGGCGGGCAGAGCGACTCCAGCCGAGAG